TGTTCACGCCGGATTTAACGAACGTCGACACCGATCTCTTATCGTCTCATCGGGGAGGACGTGGTGGTCTCGCGTCGGAAGAAAGGCCGAGAGATGGTCGTGAATGCGAGAAAGGGAGAAAGGGGAGGAATGGAAAGGGGTGGCGCGCGGTGGAAAAGGCTTCGGTTTCCGGCTAAATGGATAACGGACGTCGTTAATCGTCGTGCATCGCCCGTTAAAAGGAGAGAAGAATCGCGAAAAGACGACCGAGAGAGGAGGAGAGAGAGAGAGAGAGAGAGAGAGGCAGAGGAGGGTTGAAAGGTGGGCTAAGAGGGAAGATAGGGCGAGTGTACATTCATCGTCTCATAAAAGCCGGTACAACGTTCGCGAGTATGAGATGTCGATACAACAACGAGAGAGCAGTAGCGGAGGTAGTAGTAACGGGTGGTAGTAAGTGTAAGGAGTAAGGAGTAAGGAGCAAGAGCAAGAGCAAGAGCAAGAGCAAGAGCGGGAACATAACGGCGATGCTTCTTCTTTGCGGGATTTTACCCAGCCGGTTACCTTAGCAACCGAACCCCCCCACGTACGACGCTCCTTCCCCCGTTTTTCCGTGGTGCCGGGAAGGGGATATATACCTAGGATGCGTATTATTCTTAATAACCCCCGTATGCCGTTGCGCTGTATTATGACTGATGTTGACTCTAAGCGGAGAGCCACGGCGATCGATAGCTCGCTACCACCGCGACTATGAAACCGAGAGAGAGACAGAGAGAGACAGAGAGAGAGAGAGAGAGAGTAGAGCACGACTAAGGGAGGGCCAAGGGGTTGTAAAGAGGAGAGAGAGAGAGAGAGAGAAAGAGAAGGGTGGAGGAGGATAGGGCCGAGGGATCGGCGGGGAGAGAAAAATCTAAGTAGCTTCCGGATTGGTTACGCGAGTCTTACGAACTTTTGAAAGAGTTACGTGGACAGTGGTGGGGACGGAAGAAGCAAGGAGGACGCGAGGAAGAACTACCCTCCCCTCCGAGCACGGCCCTTTTTCCATTCGATGCGGTTGCGCGTTTCGCGAAATCACCGCGATCAAACGATAAGTCTTCCCGGATATTGGATCGTGTGTATTTAGTCGTTCACAGAAAGGAATCGTTTCTGAAACGCGGACGAGGGAGAGAGAGAGAGAGAGACAGAGAGGATGGGATATATATCCCCCCTTCTTTCCCCAATTAACCGAAAATCGAAACGTTTATAGAGATTCGGGGAAATCTGTTCGAGATGCAACGAGTCTACGAGTGCAACGACGACGGCCTTTAGAGAGCGCGTGACGACGATGCTTTCTTCTTCTTCTTTTTTTCTCCCTCCACTCCCTCTCTCTCTCTCTCTCTCTATACGATACGTCGAATCGCGTTAATCGGTCGCGATAAGAGGAAAAAACGGGGGAGGAGAGGAGGAACGAATTTGTTCGCGGAGAGAGAGAGAGAGAGAGAGAGAGAGATCGGTGCACGCGCGCTGGTGGAGACTGGCGGCGATGCTCGAAACTAAAATGTCTCAATGAATTAAGCACCGCAACCAAGTAGAGAGACCTTCACCTTGTCTCGAACCGTGTTACGACGCCTCTCACGGAGATCGCGATTCGACGCGATACGTAAACAAGTTTCTCGTCCAAATTTCCAATCCTCCCTCCCCCGACTAATTTTTAAACGACCTCCGATCGCCGATCGTAACCGGTCCTTCGCCTCTCCTCTTACGTAACACCTTGCGAGCCTCGCGCAAGAATCGATCTCGCGTCGAGCAAAAGAAACGAACGAGAATGCATTGGCCAGCGCACGTATCGAAAGATCGGGACGGGTGAAATTTGTCGGAAGAGGCGTATCGCGACGTTTTGGAAAGTGTCGGCAAAGAAAAGAAAAGAAGGGAAGGGAAGAGAAGAGAAGAGAAGAGAAGAGAGGAGAAAAAGAAAGAAAGAGAGGAGAAGAAAAGAGAGAAAAAAGGAGAGAGAGAAAAAGAGCCACGACGGCGAATGATATAGAGCGAAAGTGTAAACGCCCCTCTCTCTTTCGCTCTCCTGCCCCTCCCTCGCGCGTTCCTAGCCCCTCTTCCCTTGTCTCGCTCTTTCGTCCCGTCATATTCTCGTCTCCGTCACACCCGCGCTCACTGTTGCGCAGTTTTCGAGGTCACCTCAAGTTCATCATCGATAATAGCACAAGGCGAAAACAAGCAGCTAGACCTGGGCGTCCCCGATAAGTACATACTACAGATAAAAAATTCCATCGGATTTGGTTCAGAACGAACTTTCGTTTGGCCTTGGGAGGCGCCGCGTACGCGGCCCAAAGTAAATTGCCAACGCGCGGATCGTTGGCTACCGAAACGAGAGGGACGGCGGCGTAGGAGGGGGGGCACGGAGAGGGCCGATGGAGGAGAGAGGAGAGAGAGAAAAAGAGCGAAAGAGAGAGAGAGAGAACGAGCGAGATGAGTAAGTATCGAGTAAATAGACGTATGCAAGGAGGACTCGCGGACGTCACGTAAGCAAGAGGCAGACTTTTGCACACACCATCGGAATCGACAACGTCGACAGATGGCAGCATGAATTCCGTGTTTCGCAAACACGGGGCCATTAGCGAGCGTTACGTAACCTACGAAATTTCTTTTCTCCTAATTTTTCGATTCCAACGCGACTCGTTCCGTTCCTCCGCTCGTGCGATACCCGCCCACAAAATCGCCATCCTTCATCGTCGACTCGAACGGAGGGGAAAAAAAAAAAAAAAAGAAAGAAATCCTAGGACGCGAGAACGCGAGAATTTCCCTTCGTGATCGCGTCGTGGAACGTCGAAAGAGTCCCCGAACCGCTCTGAAAAATTCGGTCGGCCGTTAAAAACAAAAAAAAAAAAAAAAAGGAAAGAAAAAAGAAGAATAGAAAGGGGGAAGAAAGAAACGGGAAAGGGGAAGGGGCGGAGCGCGGTATGTCCACCACTGGGAAATACGTCCCGTGAAATAAATATTTGCTCGATGCGCTACAACGGTTCTCTCTGATACAAAGAGACAGAGAAAGAGGATAAAGTGCTCGAGACTCCAGAGCCCGGCACCCGCTATTTTTATGCGGCCGGGTTTTACAACAGGTTACCGCGGATGCAGGCGTTCGCGGAAAAGAGCAGAAAACGAGAGGAAATAAAGGAAGAGGGAGGGAGGGAGGGAAGAGAGAGAAAGAATAGGGTGAAGGAGGCGGGGA